CCCAGCGCCGGCGGCCGCGCGGGGACATAAGGGCTCGCGGCGCGGAGGGGCTACGGAGAGGGGTGGGGCTTGGTGGGGGAGTCTGAGCCGGGAAGAGAAGTGAGTCTCAACGGGGAGGCGGGGACCCCGCGTGGGGAGGGGTGATGAGTCTCAGCCGGGAAAGGTGGAGGGCAGGGAGGATCCTCAACTGGGGAGAGAGAGGGCATCTTCAACCAGGGAGCCGGCATCCTCAACTGGGGCAGGGGCAGCGACTCTCAATGGGGCTGAGAAAGGGGGGAGTGACCCTGCTTTGAGAAGGGGCGATGAGTCTCAACTGGGAGCGGGGGAGGGCAGGGCGGGATCCTCAACCGGGGAGAGGGCAACAACTCCGGATGGGGCAGAGAAAGAGGAGGAGCTTCTCTCCCTGAGCAGGGGAAACGCGTCTCAACTAGGAAAGGGGGAGGGCTGGGAGGATCCTCAACCAGGAGAGGGGGCAGATCCTTCCCCAGGGCAGGGGCAGCGATTCCCAACAATGGAGGGGTCAGGCAGAGGGACGGGCAGAGGGGACAGATCCCAGCAGGTGATCCTCAACAGAGGAGTCACAACCGTCAGCTGAGGCTAATGATGCTCAAGCGGGGAAGCTGCAATGCCTGTCAAGGGTGCTGCGCAGTGCAAGCACGGTTAGGGGTGCAAACGTGACCTGCAGGATGAAGTGAACCTGGGGTGTGGGAACCATTCGGCCCTGCTGCCTCTTTCGGAGCGCTTTGCAGCAGGCTCTGATCCTGTGCCTGCAGTCAAAGCAGGAGGGAAAGCTCAGAGCTGGTGTTTCTTGGGGGGGGGGGGGCCTCGAGTCTAAGGTGGTTGAGAGCCACTGATCTAGGGTGGTGTCAATGCTGGGGGGGACTGCTCAGCTATAGGGGACAGGCCCATGGGCAGAGCCGGGATTTTGAAAAGCAGGGTGCAGACGCCGTGGTGCTCCCTCACGCACAACACAACACACTTTTCTCCAGTTAAACGAGGAGTTTTACTAATAGGCGAAGGGCCTAGGGCTGTATCGTTCAGTTTCAGATCAAAGCAAAAACTCAATCCAACTATTGAAATGTGCACTGATTTGCTAGATTACACAGGGTGTCCCCAAAGTCAGGAGTCATAGTAATAGAAGGTATAAGGCTCTCTGGCTCCTGACTTTGGGGACCCCCTGTATATAAATTTAAAAAAAAAAAATATATATATATATATATAACAAACTGGGCAAAAACAGTCCAAAGATGTTGTGTCAGGATGTTAGTTTTAAAGTTGGGGTGCAACTGCACCCCCCCGCCCGGATCCACCCCTGGGCAGGCACCCCTCTGCCTGGGATATATGGCCTGCCTGCCTGCCCTCTTGCAGGGGGTAAACTCAGGCTGCTACTAGCATTAAGCCTCTGCTTGCTGGCAGTGAAAGCAGCTGCTCCTTTGGCGGGTGCATCCGTGGCGCTGCTGCCAGTGCCAGGTTCAGTCTCCCGGGGTGACCTGAAAGCACCCTGTGCTCGCATGGGCAGTTTTGTAAACCCCAGCCCCGGTAGGATGCAGCCACCTCTGGGCTGGAGCCCGGAGGCCGGCTGCCCATCTCAAAAGGTGTGAACCTCTCCGATGTCCTGCTCGGTCTCTCCTGGTTTTGGGGCCTTTCCTGGTACTTTCTCAACCTGCTGCATGCCAAAAACTAGCTATTTTCAATGGAAAAGGAACAGCTGGAGAAAGCAGGACTCCTGCGGCTGAAACACCCAAAAGGAAAGGACCGCGGAGAGCGGAACGATCCCAGGGTGACCAGACCCTGCAGTTTCCATAGCCTGCACCATGCACGCGTTACCGGCTGGAAGCCTCTGACGGAGAATTGCCAGCCGGGCGCTCTCCCGGCTCCTGTCCTTGGCGCAGCTGCCCACAAAGCTCCTGAACTCGGGCAGTGACTCCTTTACCCGGGGGAGACTACAGGTCCCGGCATGCATTTCATCTGAGCTGGGTAAGAGCATTGCATGCCGGGACCTGTAGTGTCCGGGGTGCATCTCTGCTTTCTGCTCCAAATTACCCCCATTTTATGTGGCTTAGGTGGAGGCCCCAGACTAGGGTTGCCAGTTCCGACTGAAGCTATTCCGGGAGATTATTTTTTCCCCGAATGTGACTTTATGTCATTAATTGTACTGTTCAACCCCTTCACAATATCAGTCTCCCAGACTGATTTCAATAGTCACCGGGAGATTGAAGCCAATTCCGGTCGGCTCCCGGCCAATCTGGCTGTGCGCGTGGAGGGTAACCTCTCTGTCAGACAGGTGGGATCATATCCGATCTTGGTACCACTCTGAGGAACCTAATGGTTCACAGCAAAGGATTTTCTTTTTCGGCGGGGTGCCAAATCGGTTCCAAAGTCTGTCGACTGAGCAGATCTGAATTGTTCAAGTCTATGCGGTGCTGCCACCTGCAAGTCTCCTCCCTCCCGGACTCTTCAACCTGGGGCTTCAGATGCTCCCCATCCATGCCAGGCATCCTATGTGCAAGCCCTGGAGGCCTTGGAGCTCAGATGTCCCCTTGTCCCGCTTGCCCCAAGCCAAAAGGCGGAAGGAGCCAGCTAGAGGGAAACCCCGAGAGCAATCCCCCATGGCTACAAATTGCATAGCCGAGATCCTCGCATTGGGAGGCCACAGTAGACTCTGGCAGGGTCTACAGTTCAAGGGACAGGCCGTCACCCTCAACTACGCCGCGTCAAAGGAATATGCACCCACATCCTCTTCCCAGCACAAAAAAACCCTACTGCTTTATATCCAGCGTCACTGCATCCAGGAGATGGCGCCTCCGACTCAGGGTTTGCGCTCTGTGTTTTAAGGACAACCAAAAGCTGACTCGACCCCGCTGACTATCTGCCCCCGGGGCGGGGGGCTGGACCCGATGATCTTGCGAGGTCCCTTCCAGCCCGAATGTCTATGAAACCTATGATATCATGAAAGGAGCTGGGGATGGGTTTGCTCAGGGCACATCCCAGCTCCTGAAAAGAGAGGAAATGTTCTGGGATACCGTCATCTTATGACAAACCCCCCCCCCAAATTAAGACACTGCAGGGCTGATTTCCCATTGCCGACTAACCCATCAGGAATTCTAATGGTAACGGGTTAGTAATTAGCCAACGATTTCTGGAGCTGCTTCGTAATACTACAGTCAATTAGTAACTGATAGGCCGTTCTAGTAATCAGGCTCTGACGAGGAGCGTCAGCAGTTTAGTTGGAAGGGAGGGGCGATTTTATGATGCATT